GGAGGAGGAGGAGGAGGAGGAGGAGGAGGAGGAGGAGGAGAAATAGTGATTCTACGCTCAAACAATTTACGGTGCTTCAGTGTGTCTGTGTGCGTGCGAGTGGTGAAGTGGGAGGGCAGAGGGATGTCCAATCATTTGTTTTCCTCTTTTTGTTTCCCAACGGAGAGACAGAGCGAACAAGAGCGCCAAGAAAGGCTATCAGGAGATGTTGCCAGTTGGATTCTCTGAAGATTGCTTAGCCTCCTCCGTTGACTTCAATGAATCAGCCCCCGCGTTACCTGATTCCACCTCATTGGAAGACTCCAGATGCCCATCATTGTTGCTGTTTCCGGGAGCCTCGTTGCTCCGAATTTTAACATCACCTAGAAATAAGAATCAGGGAAAAGTCCATATCCCTACTAATAATGCAAATTAGCAATGTAGTGAGGAACCACAAACGATGAGCATCCCCCATCTTAGCGCTCTATACCATGATTGCTGTTTACTCCATTATCGCAGACCTTCACATACCCGCACTATAAGCCAAAAGTAATGAAATTAATTATTTACGAAAACAAATTTGGCTGCGAAGATCAAAAGAAAGTATTGCCAACAGCCCCTCCATGGGTAGCGAAAGAACCAAAAGTTCTTACATGAAGTACGATGGAGAGCACTTCGAGAGGCATGAGGCAATGCTGACGGTGAAAACTCCCAACCTTAGTGATTTACAACAACATAATGATTGGAGGCAGTTAAATTTAACTGATCAGGAGTCAGTGATAAAACGGAAAGTCAAAATATAGCCCCGACGACGACTCAGAATCAGTAATGCGAATTAGGGACCACCATGCAACACTAGGTCACTATAAAGCCCACTTCTCCAGTGTAGTGGTAACCAAACGCCGTCCACCACAGCCACTAAATGCGAATTGCCAAAATACGCACCTCTGGACCAGTGCTAAGCACACCTCTGGAAGGAAAACACCGTCTACAGTAACAAGTGTAAAATAAATGACCGTTTGTTTGAATTCACATTAATTCATCATGAACGACTTATCTAACAAAAAATATCCAATATTCAGTTTCAGCTACCGCCAAGAAAATTACGAGAAGTTTAGATGTGGTTAAAAGAGGAGCGATAGGCTGAGCAAACTTCCGCCAACCCCTTATACCAATGCAAAAACTTCATCATTCTAAGTGCCGAATTTTACGAGGTGCCGCACAATACTTCAGCTCCGTGAGCAGCCACCGGTTGTGTAGTAGATTCCTACTCAGCTACCTTCTCATTACTAAGCTAGAATAGGTGCCAGTTAAAACAATTACAAATCCTCAGGTGCTATCACTTACTAGAGTGCTTGCTGCTGGAATCCTTGGATTGAGCAGATGAGGCGGCGACGGAGGTGGAAATTTTGTCACCAGCAGCGGATTGCGAGAAATCGGGCGGATCGGAGTCAAAAAGGTGAGGTGGTAGAGGGTTGCCATTGGGCAACTTACCTCCAGATGCCCTTAGGTCTCGAATTTCATCGAATGCGCGGTCAAGGAGACCTTGTCGGGGTGGTAGCCTATTGTTGGGGTTATAAACAAGCATCTTGGACATGAGTGCGAGCAGATCAGCCGGTGTGTGACGTGGGAAGAAAAGCTTCACCGGGCAAGACTGCACGTCAGGGAAGTTATAAGACTCGTACATAGGGTTCATGCTAGCAATGTCTTCTGCCGTTGGCGTACCCAGTACTCGAATCACCTTTACCAGCTGGTCCACTGAATCGGCGCCAGTGAAGAGACATTGATGACGCAACATTTCCGCCAACACACACCCTGCACCCCACGTATCGATAGCACAGGTATACATCTGCGCTCCGAACAAAAGCTCCGGTGCTCGATAGTAGCTACAGGCACAAAAAACCCCACAATTATAAAACTTAGGAATGCGCTGTGGAATACAAGATTTCTCCACATTTCATAAGATCCTGCCTTCGAATTAAAACATGAGCCTTACTAATAAATGATTGAGATAAACCACACTGCTTGCATTTAGCTAGAAAGCTAATAAACTGATCAAAGCTGTTCAGAAAACAGCAATAATCAGGACGCTAAAAGCAGTGGCGAAATGGTTAGGAGACGAAGCTAAGAGGTGATGAAACAAATCCATTAAAGCAAAACCATCCAAACGCATTACTGAGTCTGGAGAACAACTGCATAGCCTACCTGAAAAAGGACGCGTGGATGACGACCGTTCACCGCAATTTCGAAAACGCACAAACAAGCTCACACACTTCGTTAATGTCTAGTGTGCAGGTGCTTACGCGAGGTCAAATCGCATGTTACCCGGTTAGGGCACGACAGATTCAATAGGAATGCAATGCGTAATTCAATTAATTAACGGATGCTATCATCGATGGATTCAAATAGATATTCTATTAAGGCCAACTACTATTTCCTAAGTCAATCGACAACCCTAATGACTGAGCAATGCATAAATAAAACGTACAGCACTGACCACTGACACTTGAAAGAGCTTACCGAGAGGAGATGTAGGAGACGTTAGTTGTCCCAGGAACCATCTCCTTAGCACTGCCGAAATCACATAGTTTCAGGACCATGGTCTGCTCATTAACAAGCAGATTTGAGGACTTAAGATCTCTATGGCAAATTTGGTGACTGTGAAGATAGGCTAGAGCTTTGAGCATCTGATAAGTGAACAATTTGACAGTGAGTGGCGGAATGCTCATGTTGCGTTGAAAGTACATGTAGACCAATTCACACAGACTGCCCGGAAAGCACTCGAGCACTAAATGCAAATACACGTCCATATCCGCGTTTGGTGGCATGTCCGTGCACACACCTTCGCAGGGCTGTTGCGAGTTTCTTGACCGAGTGCGTGACGCAGAGGACGAAGTGGAAAAGTAGTAGTAGTAAAATTTTACCACGTTCGGGTGCCTGCTGAGCTTCTGCATGATACTCAGCTCCCGATTTTTGTAGCGTGGATCCTGTAGCACTCGCTTCACCGCAACCGATAAAACAGTGCTGTCGGAGGAATTAGCAGTAACCGATGAAGAGGACTTTTCATCGACAGACTTTGAGGGGGGCGGAGTGGTAAGAGTAGCTTTTTCAATCTGCCCAAAGGTACCCTGGCCAATTGTGCCAGAGAAACTGAGGTGTATCGACACAGGAGTATTGTCTAGAGCATTTCTAGCTTGTACAACCAACTGCCGAGGTAACGCTAAGCGTCCAGAAATCAGACTTGCGAAGGAACCGCATATACGATTTGATTTACCATGAGTGGGCTTCGACGCATTGTTAGCATTAGTGTGATTACTACCTTGTGTAGCTCCGCTATGCCGCGAAGCGAGACTCATATCGAACGTTCGCGTAGGATGAAATCACACAAAGGAGAGGAATCTGTTGAGGCGATGAGCGTTCAGGCGATCTGCAAGTCAAAACACACAAACGAATTACACGCACAAAAAAACGATAATCCAGTTCCAGGCATCTTTAAGAGCGTAAACACCAGACGCTCAAGCGAAATAGCGATCTACACAACCAAAGTTCTATAGTGCCCGAATTTGAAGAGAGCAATAAAGAGAACTAAATTCATTTAGTAAAAAACTTCCAAGTCAAATGTGCGCAAGATGCACTCACGCGCAGACAATTACACCACCGACTTATCAACCAGAATAAACCACCTTCGAGCTTCTCAACCTGCTGACAGAACGACACCAGACAATAAGTAGGACTAGATGCCAACTCCAAAATGCCCCGCAGTCGGATAATGAGCGATTCAAACAAACTGATTCAGTATTGTTACTAGCAAAGTCAAATTTCTAATTAGTAATTATTAAAATTTTAGGGATTTTAAGCGAGTTTTTTATGTTTGCATCTGCAACCAGCAGTTATATAATGTTAAGTTAAAACTTTTTGGAAATGCCTTGGCATACGGAATTTCATCAAGTAAGAAAAAGACGTAGCAGCAAATGTAATATGATTAACATGAGGCAAAGCTTTGCCGAATCATTACTACGTATTGGAATGACTAACTATGCTGCTAACCGTAATCATACCATTTTGTATCGAATTTTCGATTAACTTTAGGTATTTTAGTCACAAACTTTTGCAATCTTTCATATATACGATTAGCGTCTAAATTAACCTAACTTGTTCACTAAGGACTCCAAATCACGCTTAGATAAAGATGGGTAAACCCGTCATCGAGATAACCGAAGTCCTATCTCTTCATGTTCTCATGGAAGGCATGTGCTCCGCACGACTTAGTGAGTACCTTTTCTACAGAAGATTGTTTTCCTGCTTAACTTTTTTTACATGTCCTAGTTTTGTGTGCAACACAGCTAGTGAGATTACCAGATGTTTGGCGGTTACCTCAGAATTCGTCTGGCCTCTGAACACTTGGAGTAGTCTTCGGGGCACCCCAGACTAAATCCCTTTTCCTTCTTCAGAATACGTGTTCAATCCAACTTTACGCCTCCTTTGATAAAGCATGAAGTCTCAGGACTCCAAAATATGGCAATTTAAGGATCGTAAAATGCCAGAATGTGTAATTTTACGAGCAGAATTTCAGAGCAGTTATTGAGTTTGGTAGTTTGTTAAAGGCTTTGATTAACTGACAACTAATATTAGGGCCTTGGTTAAAAGTGGTACCCCTCACCAAATTTGTGCTAGACCCTTACAACTTGGGCTATGCAGTGCCCATATCTTTGTAATATGTTGATGCATCCTGTTACATGTACAGGAACAAAGCTTTTCTGAATCAAGCACACTCTTTAAACTAAAGAAAGAGAAAGTAATGGACTCAACCTTAGCTTGACACGAAAGCTAGCCCACACGTACAGTGGCGAGATGAATCCAAAAGCTATAGCCAGTCACACCAGATGTCACTTAAACAAAGCTTTACATCGTACATTATAGTAGCAAACGGGAAGTTTCGAAGAAGTTGCATTTAAGTCTAGTACTCGGTATCATTAATACCCTACAAAAAGGCCGGGTTTCTACAGCAAAAATAATTAAAATGAGAGTTAAAATGTAAATTAACAACTGTATATCCTTACTGAATTGTGAAAACATGACTAACTGACAGTCACATGATGTTTGTGCTACTCTTGAAAGACCAATGTATCATATTCATACTGAGTGCATTTTATCTGTCCCGTCTAATGCCAACTATTACCTATGTGAAGGTCTTGGGATTCTACGGTGCATTTAGAAGAATAACTCAGTTTGCGAAAGGACGTTGTGTCGCGCCTTAAGACTTTCTGGCCAGTATAAGAAGTCAGTAAGTGCAGTTGAATGCATGCATCCTAAAGACGATAGGACAAATGGGCCTGAGCACGGTCCGAAGGCCAGCCCACGTGCACAAGGGCCAGGAAGATCCTAAAGAGACCGCCAATTGCATGTAGTCACACAAACAAAGCGTTACAGACGTATCTGTAGAGGAAAGTATTTGTAATTAAACGGAATCGGTATTGTCACACTTTAATGTTTCTCAAAAGCAGAATTATAATAATTTGTTTATCTGGTCACCTGATGCTTGGCCGTTAACTTAAAACTAACCTAGACCTAGGACGCGCAGGTTGATGTAATGGCTATGCTCAGGAATTGTCACTGTTCACTCTGCAACACATGTGTTCAAGTCTACTTACGACTTTCTTTTACCTTGTGGAAAGTATCGAGAGGCTGCTTAATTTTTGAGAGACAATACGATATAGTCGGCAAGGGTCACCGACAGAGCATCAAATATTCATTTGCTTTATTGAGCAAGATGGATCTCCCGGTAATGGAACCAAACAAAGTATATAATTTTTTAATTTGAAACAGTGTGAAGCAACATGCAATAGTGTAATGCTTCAAAATTGTGACTACCTGACGTTTGGCTGTCACTTTAGGTTTTTTCTGGCCCCTGTACACGTGGGCTGGCCTTCGAGCCACGCTGAGGACACATTTTTTCTGCCGTCTTCGAAATACGTGTATTCAAATAGTTTTTGAAAATTAACAATTATCATCAGATTTTAAAACGCACTATTGTTTTCCGGTATTTAAAAGCGTACTAAGTAAAAAAACTGTTTTAAATTTTAACATTTTTTACTTGTCTTTACAAAACGAGTTAAAGTAATGCATTTTATAAACTCATAACATATTTTGCCTTTAATACTTGTTTTTCTGCACTATTTGCCCGACCTCCCTTTCGAAATCTTTGTGGTCTCCAGTATCCCTTTCCGTCTTCAAGGTCGGTCTTTTGCGATGCGTGGACGATACTCTAACTCGAGAAGAAGACTGTTTTCGGAATCTGCAGTCGAAAGGGAGTATTTCAGACAGAATATTGAGCAACAACCAGTTCAAGACATTTCAATAAATGTGTTTTACCAGCCGCGTTCTATCACTGTACTTTGCCTTATCGTCGTCGGCCTGACATATTTTGCGTTCACTCGGTTTGCTTTGTGCTAATATTCTACTTCGGGACTCATAGACCAGTAGATCTTCCCCTTAACGACTGCCTTTTTAATGGAGCGGTTGTGTCCTCCACCGTTTTCTTGATAATCTCGACAATGATCATGCCGAATGGTGAATATTGTCCCATTCGAATGTTCTTTGAGTTCAATTCTAATCATTATTGGTTTAATTTACTGTAGGTCCTTTTGTACGACCCCATCCTCTGGTTTGGAGGGTTGTTTTCGGTGCAAGCCTTCTGTACCTTCTTAGCCTTGTTTTTGTTCTCTTCTTGCGCCTGGAAGATGCCCGGAAAATTCTCTTTTACTTGGACCCTAACTTGGAACGAATGCGCCATTCTGACATTTTGGATAAGGAATACGCAGTCAACTGTAGCCAGGTGTTGTGCATACTTAATCTCTAATTCCTAGTGTAGGTGACCTTCGAGCGCATCTGGAGTCATATTGATGTGTTTGCTTTTGGCCACTTTTTCGGTTGGGTGATAAAGGCTATTTTATTGCGGCATTACTTCATACTGTGGACGCTCTCCATCAATTGGGAGATCACAGAAGTGGCCTTTTCGCACATTCTGCCTAACTTCCAGGAATGTTGGTGGGATAGCATTATCCTTGACGTATTGCTTTGCAATGGTCTTGGTATATTTTGTGGTATGCTTCTCTGTCAGTGGTTTCATGCGCGCTCATATCAGTGGGAGTCTATTCGCGACATTCCCTCCAAGCGTGGCAAGCTCAAGCGGGCCGTCCTTCAGTTCACTCCAGTTAGGTATGGCTTTTGTTGTATTTTTTGGATTCGTTTTCGAAACAGTAATTATCTCCGATGAATTTCTGTGTATTTGAATGTTACATATGATTTTGGTAAATGTTAAGGCTAGTCTGTGCAGGAGTTCATATTTCATATATGGGTCATCCTTGATAAAAAAAAATTGGTGTCTCAAACTTTTGCCAACTACCCAATGCGGAGAACTTTAATGCGGCGAAGTATTAGTTGACTATGATCATGGGGTAAGTAGAGGTGCTGTCTTACTTTGACGAAAATCGAAACCACGAATTGTATTTTTCTTAGGGTAAATTATAGCAGTCCATCTTGTTACATTCTTCGCCATTCCTTCTTCTTCTCTTGTTTCAACCACAAGTTGTTCTTTTGTATTAAGCAATTACAATATTTTAGTTTCACTACGTTTCTTTAATTATTGGCTCCCTTCAAGGTGAATTTTATGAAGTAAGAGTGAAAAATATTTCAAGTTTGAAACATGCTTTATGAGGTTTGAATAACCTCCTGCCACAGAAACTTTTTATTGCAAATTGCTGATTTTTGGTGGGCGTCAAGGCCATAGAATAAATACTCACTTTTCCTTTCATGAGGTGATTTTTTCTCAAATCTGCCATCTTATGCACTTCGGGCGGACGTGCTTTTATCCGAGTTACTGCCATTGGTGGCGCTTTACTCATGTTAAATGGGATACTATTTGTAGCCTTAAAAATGCACTCTTAATGGCGCTTTAATACCGCTCGTCTCATACTTTTCCACTCTCAGCTGGACTCCGACGCACTGGCTGGACAGAAATTCCTCATTTAGGCGGGTCCTTCAACTTTCTGTGCTCATATTCTTCTGGCAGATGGCGGAGTTGAATATCTTCTGGCTAAAGCACGTTTTCATTGTCAAGCCCTCACACTTTCTCACCCAAGTGCGAATCGCCATTATCACTCTCTCCTCCGCCCCCGCAATCAGGTGACCCCATTCAATCCTATTATTGTGCATATTTTTGTTAGTGATCTTTAAGTTAATTTCTTAAAGCTCACGCCCTTCCCATTATTTCATCGACTCTATGTGTGCTGATCCTTTCAGAACCTTTTATTGCCTAGTATATACCGTCCATCGGAATGTTTTTATGCGTTTATTTACTTCCCTTCGTAACGCAACGTAACGTTTATGCTTCACCTTAGTTCAGCCCCCAGTATTTTTATTAGCTCTTCTCTAGTATTGTTTTGGTGCAAAGTTGAGTGCACCAAAATTTCGCACCTTTATGCCTTCTTGATGGGATGATCTTGATTTTGGCATTTTGGTGCTACACTAAAGTAATATTTTTTCACCTCCTTGGTTAATTTGGCTTTTGAGATCTCGCTGATTCTAGTCATACCTCAAGATTTACCAAAATTTAAGGGCCTTTCCCATCATTTTGTGCCCATGCTATTGCTGATTTCTCAACACTCCCTTTTCTGAGGTGTTGCGAGATTGTATGCATAAAAACAAACAGTTTGTACTCCTCTATGGCTTAGTAGTTACAGTCACTTACGCTTCGCTTATGCTAACGTCGATGCATTTTAAGCGTATTCTTTGTGATGCGTTTTGTGTGGGGAATGAAGTCGCCTCTAAGTAGCCGCAACCGTTGTGAGACTCTTCAAAAGTACTTGAAAATGTGTATGCTTTTCTACCCATCCATCCACTGTGGTTATCACACCCTCCTGCACTTCCAGGCAATTCTACCATTACGTCACTGATGATCAAGTGACACGCGTCGGCTCTCAAATGTGGATTTTTACGTGAGTTCCAATGTCCACCCCACTTCGTAAGCGTAATGGCCCTTCTAACAGGATAATTGGGCTGCCGTCTATAGGGCCACAATGATCGTCGAAACACTGGTCGCCTACAAATTGGGCAGTGAGGTGTTCGAAAAGGCTATCCTTCGCTACATCATTTACTGGCTTATCTGGCTAGTCAGTTTACTTTTTACCCATTCGGCATTCATACCAACATGCAAATGCACCCACTGTGCACTAAGGATTGCCTACTGTGTTTTAGGTCATCAGTAGTTTTCTGACTGTGTGGGTTTGTCTACTCTTTGCCAAACGTTCAAAGACAGAGTCCGAAGCCGAAGAGGCGTATGATAACGGCAGTGGTCTCATGGACTCAGAAGTCATGTCCGAAAGGTCCACAGAAGATGAATATGTGAGTTTTTAGGACTTATTTATCTTTTTTCTTGTAATATGCTGATGTTAATGGTTTTTCTTTTGATGATTGCATTATTGCAAACTTGCAGGACTTATGCTGGCTCAGCGACCTCATCACATAAAGTCGTTTCGCACTTTATTTTTGGTTAGGAAGTTCACTGGCGGGCTGTACATTTCCCTTCGATCAGTCGCTCTCCCATCAGCTCTCGGGACACCAAAAAAGCTAACTGACTCTCCTCATTCCCTTTCTCTTTGCACACGTGTTGATGAAGTTGCAATTGTTTCCACCTTCTTTCCTGTATATTCGCATTAATCTCGCTGTGGTGTTTTAATTTCATGTATAAATGAAACCTTATTGTTGTGTAATCAAACAATAATACGGTTCCACGATTTTGAAGTTGACTCGAATTGGAGATGGTGCGGTTCAAACAGCAAAATTGAGGAAATCGTTACACCTTCGAGCTCTCCATACCGAATCACTCGGTGACATAATCGTCTCTTTGGATGTCAACGCATTGGTGAGGACTTAATTGGCCACCACTACGTTGTCGCTACAGCTGTCAACACAACTGATTTGTTCGTTCCATATCAGTCGCCGTCGGTCGAACATTTGTATTAACGGTGGTGCTTCCTTGAAGTTAGGTTGTCTTTCTTTTCATCCAGATTACATGTAAGTCGCGTGTTTTCTTACATTTTTGAGCAGGTAATTCAACGAACTGCTAGAACGACCTTTGTGAGTCTTTATAATGTGCATTTAAACTGGTCATGCGCGCCTCATCAAATCCGCATCGTCGATGACGATGGACACAAAGCGTCTACTTCTATGGCCAGAAAGAAAGCAGTAAAAATGCATGGAAATAAGCAGTGGCAGCTTAACCTTTGTGCTTTATGCATTGCAAGTGCCTCAAGCCTTTTATTGTTTGAATAAAGCAAAAATAAAAACATTGAACATTTTCTGCCACATTTCATCGCTGCAGTATTGCATTATTGAATTAACTTTGAATGTGTGAGACGTATAAAGCGCGACACTGTATGCTGCACATCGCACATCGGATCGAAACAGTACCGTACGATGGTTGGCTTTCCTATCCGAAAATCGGAGTTTTGAATTCTATTAGTCTCCATTGCAGTGTACTTTGGAGGAGGTCTATGAAAGATGCACACAATATGCGCCATACTCGACCTCTACAACTCGGTCGACACCTCAAGTACCTGCTTGAAGACTGGCTTCACTCTTCTCTGTCCTTCACTTCACGCAC